CAATAATTGTTAGTTAGCTTTAAAATTAAACTCGTCAGGTGCAGATAGACTGGGAAAAATTTATTTCAGTTTATTTATTAGTTGTAGGAATACAGCAAAACGTTATACACTTAGAAAAGAAATTCTTGGAAACACGTTGATGTAAAAGTGCACTGATAACATAATTAATATTTCTTATATAGATTATAGTCTATGATTTAGATTATCGTTGTTCAATAACGATTCAGTGAACATGTTCAACACGTCATCGATGTTCCAAGGATTGAAAGGAAAAAGAAAAGAAAAAATATGGCAGCTATTCCGCGCTACAGATTTTGAATCGTTCATGTATCCCTGCTTCATGTTTTGCCGCATTCTGGGAATATTTCCATACAAGATCAACGCTTCGACCATCAAGACTTGCAAACCACGCTATATTCTTTCGACTATCATTATCGGCGTTTTATGCATCCTCGAATTAATGAATCTCTATTATCTCAATACTTCTGAAGTAGTAATTAAAAACGTTGAGACAACCAAGATACTTCAACATAACTGTTTCTCTATTATTGGTGTTTTTATAGCAGTCACCGCATTCATTCTGAGTGGACCACGAATGCGTTTTCTTCAGACCTTATTGGAGCTCTCGTTGAAATTGCCTTCAGAATCATATAAGAAATTATCTAGTTTGATCCATGCCAAGGACATTCTAGGATTCTTCTTTTTAGTCGTGACATTTCTGATACCGCTTATCAAGTTCCACGTGTGGGATATTGTCACCCATTTTCTTATGATGTACATGATATTGGTGACGTTTCAAATGGATATGCTATATATCAATTGTGTTTGCATATTAAAAGCTTGTTTCAAAAAAATCAACGACAATCTAATAAATCTGCGAAAAGTCGTGACAAATGGTGTGCCATATCTCTTGAGCAGCACCTATCACGAGCAAAGAATTCCATTTGTACTGATTGAGATTATAGCTTTGAAAAAGCAGCATCTGGCAATCAGCGGCGCTGTACAGACGCTAAAAATGGTCTTCAGCTTGCACATTCTTTCTACGATACTTATGGCTTTCGCTGAAATTATCTTCTATCTGTATTTTTACTCAATGCGAATACACCTAGGTTTATATATGAGCAATGAAGATAGACAGATTGTGTTTACGGCCTGTATTATGGGAATAACATATTACTCTATAAAATTGGTGTTGATAGTGTGGGCCTGCGAAACCGGCAAGGATCAAGCCATGGAAATTATCGGCACCGTTCACGACGTGTTCAATAGTGCCAGCAATAAGCAAATAAAATACGAGGTAGATCTTTAAAAAATTATAACCTTATATATAGTGGCATGTTATATATATCTTTTTAATTATATGCCGGCATATGCCAATTCAATATTTAATATTGTAATTTACTAGATTTATAATTACATCTTTCAATTCTATATTTAACAATTCTTTGATCTGACGTTGCAGATGCGACTTTTTTCCTTGCAATTATCGCATTGTGAAAATACATT